AAAAGAATAGATTAGAATAAAATCTAAAAGTATAGAATATTAAAGAATAGAATAGCAAAAATAATAGAACAGTCTTCCAAAATTCAAATTTCGAATAGAATAAATTTGAAATAAATAGAAATTAATAGAATAGAATAAAAAATAGAACATAACTGTCTTCCGAAATTTGATTTTCGAATAGAATAAATTTGAATGGCAATTTGAACTTTCCGATTTCAATCGAATTGAATTCAGTTGAACCGAATTCGGAAAATTTGAATTCCGAAAACAAATTAAACGAAATTATTTTAATAATGAATCGAAACGAAACATTTTTTCTTCTTCTGCCGTGTCTAATGCAGGCCATAGGCGGTTCGTTAATCGGCCGATTTTCGCGGTTCCTCCTCATTTCCTTTATCGGTCATGCTGGGAAATCTGTGAAGAACGGCTGATTTTTGCAATCATTGGTGGCAGAACGACGGATGTTTGGTTTTCGGATGATAAAGGTCCCGTCTATGGCCGGCATAAGCAGTGTGATGGGTTTTATTATGCGTATTCTTCTGATCACACAGGATTTATATAGCACCAGCAATGGAGGCCATCCAATCACAGCACAGTTCAGTAGAGGAGGGCGGGGAGGACCCTCCCAGCAGATCTCCCTTTTTTTGGTCTCAGGTTTTTTATTGCACTCAGAGATTTTCCAGCGTGCTGGATTACTCCTCTTCCATTCTCCTGTATAGAAGGAAGTCCCATGATCCAGCTCAGGAAATCTCAGGGGCGGTCTGTGTTCTGTCAATCACAAAGGGTTGTCCTGATCTGGATATCTGTAGGAGCCATCATATAGACCAACCAATCACAGAGCGGCGCTGAGCGATCTGCTGACAATGGCGGCAGTGAAATGGCTCCGTGCTCTTCTTCTCTGAGAAATTAGGGGGGTGCAATGCCCTGCTAGGAATGGCCGTGCCCACTCCGCTCGGGGATCCCCACCAGTGTGCAGGGGGTCCCCCCATCTGTCATGTGATCTATAATTGATGGAGGGGGTCCTAAGATGACGGGAGCGGGGGGTGAGCAGCAGAGACCCGAGGTGAGCAGCAGAGACCCGAGGTGAGCAGCAGCAGACACCGAGGTGAGCAGCAGAGACCGGGGTGAGCAGCAGAGACCCGGGGTGAGCAGCCAGAGACCCGGGGTGAGCAGCAGAGACCCGGGGTGAGCAGCAGAGACCCGGGTGAGCAGCAGAGACCGGGGTGAGCAGCAGAGACCGGGGTGAGCAGCAGAGACCCGGGGTGAGCAGCAGAGACCGAGGTGAGGTGAGCAGCAGAGACCGGGGTGAGCAGCAGAGACCGGGGTGAGCAGCAGAGACCGAGGTGAGGTGAGCAGCAGAGACCCGGGCAGCAGAGACCCAGGTGAGCAGCAGAGACCGGGTGAGCAGCAGAGACCGAGGTGAGGTGAGCAGCAGAGACCGGGGTGAGCAGCAGAGACGGGGGTGAGCAGCAGAGACCGAGGTGAGGTGAGCAGCAGAGACCGGGGTGAGCAGCAGAGACCGGGGTGAGCAGCAAAGACCGGGGTGAGCAGCAGAGCCCGAGGTGAGGCCGAGGCCGAGGCCAGCATTGTGTAGGTTCAGGGATTTCTAGTATGGAAGTATAACCAGCTGGAAGGGCGAAAGCCACAAAGCAGCTTTGTGATGAGCTCATCTTTCTGCTCTCTCCTCCACTCAGCACGCCTCTTATCAGCACATGATTGGCTCCCTGTGCTGCTTCTTCCTCTCACACCACAGCCTTGCTGTACACAGGCTGATACAGGTCAGAGGCAGGTACTATTTCTATAAACGTATTGATGAGCAGCGAGCGCCATTACTGAGTGTCATGTACAGAGGTGTTGTTGTGGCCCTCGGTGTGCCGGATTCTGTCGGATGGAACTGCTCGCCGGCTGTTTGTTTCCTCTCTGTCAGCCTCACCCAAAGTGGCAAACATCTGCGGGGAGGAGAGGGAAGGGAAGTGGTTTCTTAGTACATGTGTTCATAGAGAACGCGGCACTCTGACAGAGCACTAACGGCGTGCTGCTGGGTGTGACCTGGCCGGGCTTTCAGAAAGGAAGGACTTCTCTACCTACCCCTCCCTGACACTACAACACCCATCATCCCCTCTGTATCACCGCCATCAGTCTGATCTACATACCCCTCCCTGACACTACAACACCCATCATCACCTCTGTATCACCGCCATCAGGCTGATCTACCTACCCCTCCCTGACACTACAACACCCCATCATCCCCTCTGTATCACCGCCATCAGTCTGATCTACATACCCCTCCCTGACACTACAACACCCATCATCCCCTCTGTATCACCGCCATCAGACTGATCTACCTACCCCTCCCTGACACTACACCACCCATCATCCCCTCTGTATCACCGCCATCAGTCTGATCTACCTACCCCTCCCTGACACTACAACACCCATCATCCCCTCTCTATCACCGCCCTCAGTCTGATCTACCTACCCCTCCCTGACACCACAACACCCATCATCCCCTCTGTATCACCGCCATCAGTCTGATCTACCTACCCCTCCTTGACACTACAACACCCATCATCCCCTCTCTATCATCGCCCTCAGTCTGATCTACCTACCCCTCCTTGACACTACGACTGTAAGGAGGCATCATAGCCCTCTGTATCACCGCCATCAGTAGCTGATCTACCTACCCCTAAAATTGGTGACACTAAACAACACCCATGGTCATCCCCTCTCCAGATCACCCAAAGGTATCAGACTGATCCATCTAAGCCCAATCCTTGACACTACGACTGTAAGGTTGGAGGCATTTCATAGCTCCTCCAGGGTGCTCCTTCAGTAGCTTGTTCCTCTAAGTGCTCCCTAAAATTGGTGACTGTCCATGGAAACCAGGATTACCTGGTCACCCTATTCCAGAGGGACCCCAAAGGTATGGAATATGAATACGTACGTTGGTCCAAGCCGGACAATGAACCCTCACATTCACCTGGACTTGTTCTGTAATGTTGGAGGCATTTCATAGCTCCTCCAGGATGCTTCTTCAGAAGCTTGGTCTTATCTTTGACCCTCATGGTGCCCCTTAAATTGGTGACAGTCCATGGAAAATCGATTCATTTCGTCACCCTGTTCCAGAGGGTTCCCGAAGGTATGGAATATGTATACTTACATTGGTCCAAGATGGACAATGTAACCCTCACATTCACCTGGGCTTGTTCTGTAAGGTTGGAGGCATCTCATAGCGCCTCCAGGATGCTTCTTCAGTAGCTTGGTTTTATAAGCGCCCCTAAAATTGTTGACTGTCCCTGGAAAATCAGTGACGTTTAGTCACCCTATTTCAGAGGGATCCCACAGGTATGGAATATGCATACTTACATTGGTCCAAGATGGACAATGTAACCCTCACATTCACCTGGGCTTGTTCTGTAAGGTTGAAGGTGTTTAGTAGCTTCTCCAAGATGTTTCTTCAGTAGCTCAGTCCTCTAAGTGCCCCTCATGGTGCCCCCGGTCACATTGGCAGGATGCATGGCTCTTTGTCTGCCAGGCCGGGCCGTGTTCTAACACTAGGAATGTCCCGGAGTTTCAGACGAAACGTCTGAGTGTGACGTGGTTGCCACTTGTAATGACTTTTACAGATAACATCTGCCTCATTCAGGGCACCGTCCCTGCACCGCGTCCTGCCAGCTGGCATTTAGGTGGCCCAGACGGGGGGGGATCACTTTTTCCTCCCAGCTTCTCCTGTCTGCCTTCCCTCTCCCATTTCATCATTTAAAAGGCAGTAAAATCCTAAAAATATTTCTGCTGGTTCCTCCGTATTTGAAGTGCGCTCATAACGAGGCCTGTTAATGGATCTCCTTCCATGTGTTCTCTTGTAACGTCTCCACATGGGGTTTTATGGTGCCGCGACACCTGCTTTCCGGAATCTTCTCCCATTTATTTTAGGGGAATAGTCACATGTCCGTCAGGGTCCCTCTCCCTCCAAATCCAGCAGATTTGGTCTAACAGAAGAATAATAGAGTGACTGGGAGCAAATGTTCCCATGAGAACCTTCACTCCTTATACTGCTGGATGAGAAGGATCCACAATTGGTCTTTGCTGTTGTAGATATTCTGATTATTACCGTATGTAACTGTCTCTGGTCATCTCCTGTACTAGGTCCGCAGTCTCTGACCGTCTCCTGTACAGTGTCCGCAGTCTCTGACCGTCTCCTGTACAGTGTCCGCAGTCTCTGTCCGTCTCCTGTACAGTGTCCGCAGTCTCTGTCCGTCTCCTGTACAGTGTCTGCAGTCTCTGACCATCTCCTGTACTGTGTCCGCAGTCTCTGTTCATCTCCTGTACTTGGTCTGCAGTCTCTGACCATCTCCTGTACTATGTCTGCAGTCTCTGGTCATCTCCTGTACTAGGTCTGCAGTCTCTGTTCCGTCTCCTGTACTAGGTCTGCAGTCTCTGACCGTCTCCTGTACTGTGTCTGCAGTCTCTGTTCATCTCCTGTACTAGGTCCGCAGTCTCTGACCGTCTCCTGTACTATGTCTGCAGTCTCTGACCGTCTCCTGTACTAGGTCTGCAGTCTCTGACCGTCTCCTGTACTAGGTCTGCAGTCTCTGACCGTCTCCTGTACTGTGTCCGCAGTCTGTTCATCTCCTGTACTAGGTCTGCAGTCTCTGACCATCTCCTGTACTATGTCCGTACTCTGACTGTACTGTGTCCGCAGTCTCTGACCGTCTCCTGTCTCCGCAGTCTCTGACCATCTCCTGTAGTATGTCTGCAGTCTCTGTCCATCTCCTGTATTATGTCTGCAGTGTCCATCAGTCTGCAGTCTCTGACCGTGTCCTGTACTATGTCTGCAGTCTCTGACCATCTCCTGTACTAGGTTTGCAGTCTCTGACCGTGTCCAGTATGTCTGAAGTCTCTGACCTGTACTAGGTTTGCATGACTGTCTGCTGTAGTCTGATGTCTCTGACCATCTCCTGTACTAGGTTTACAGTCTCTGTCTCCTATACTAGCAGTCTCTGACCATCTCCTGTACTAGGTTTGCAGTCTCTGACTGTCTCCTGTACTATGTCTGCAGTCTCTGACCGTCTCCTGTACTGTGTCTGCAGTCTCTGACCGTCTCCTGTACTATGTCTGCAGTCTCTGACTTCTCCTGTACTATGTCTGCAGTCTCTGACCATCTCCTGTACTATGTCTGCAGTCTCTGACCGTCTCCTGTACTATGTCTGCAGTCTCTGACCTGCAGTCTCTGGTCATCTCCTGTACTATGTCTGCAGTCTCTGACCGTCTCCTGTACTATGTCTGCAGTCTCTCCGTGACCTGCAGTCTCTGACCGTCTCCTGTACTATGTCTGCAGTCTCTGATCCTGTACCGTCTCTGACTCTCCTGTACTATGTCTGCAGTCTCTGACCGTCTCCTGTACTGTGTCTGCAGTCTCTGACCGTCTCCTGTACTATGTCTGCAGTCTCTGGTCATTCCCTGTACTGTCTGCAGTCTCTGACCGTCTCCTGTACTATGTCTGCAGTCTCTGACCGTCTCCTGTACTATGTCTGCAGTCTCTGGTCATCTCCTGTACTATGTCTGCAGTCTCTGACCGTCTCCTGTACCATGTACAGTCTCTGACCGTCTATGTCTGCAGTCTCTGACCGTCTCCTGTACTATGTCTGCAGTCTCTGTACTATGTCTGCAGTCTCTGACTCTCCTGTACTATGTCTGCAGTCTCCTGGTCATCTCCCCTGTACTATGTCTGCAGTCTCTGGTCATCTCCTGTACTATGTCTGCAGTCTCTGACCCTCACCTGTACTATGTCTGCAGTCTCTGACCCTCACCTGTACTATGTCTGCAGTCTCTGACCCTCACCTGTACTATGTCTGCAGTCTCTGACCCTGTCTCCTGTACTATGTCTGCAGTCTCCTCTGGTCATCTCCTGTACTATGTCTGCAGTCTCTGACCCTCACCTGTACTATGTCTCAGTCTCTGTCACTCCTGTACTATGTCTGCAGTCTCTGACCGTCTCACCTGTACTATCTGTCTGCTGTCTCTGTCTCTATTCAAAACATAGAATATGCAGTGCTAGATGTTATGTGAAACTATGATAAGTTTGGTAATAAATGAGAATAATATAGTCCCAAATGAAGAGTCCTCAAAGACAGAAGTAATATATATCAAAAGTGCTCCATGCAGTGATCAGAAAAGTCCACAAGGTGGGCAAACTGGTCAAGTGAAGAAATAACAAATTCCTTGTAGTAATGGTTATATAATGCGCTTACCAGAACTACATACAAAATACGCGTTGTATGTATATACTCTGTAAAGGACATCAGGGTCTGGTCACTGGTATGCGGTCATCAGAGCGCCCTAGCAGACTCCCAGAGATGCTGACAAGACACACTCCCGGTCCACCTCAGGACTCACCAATGGGTCACCAATGGGTCCACCGTCACTCAGACTCCAGATGTCGATCCACCTTAAGGAGGCTCGTGCAATAACAAGCCAGGGAGGCAAGATAGTGCTGATAGTGTACCAATAAATAAATAATTTGCGCTAGTAAATGTGTATAAATATATATAAAGAAATCATCAAATCATAAGTCCAGAAAAAAATATATATATGCCAATACCACAAAAAAATATATAAAAAAAAACTTTTAAGTGCAAAAAACTTTTGTGCAAAAAAAGTGTCTAAATATGAAAAATTTCACCAAAAAACCTTGATAATATAATGGCAGATCATCCATAAATATATCTTCAGAAACGGAAACTCTGCAACACACCGATCCTCATCGATCGAAATAACAGGATGAAAAACTTTGTAATTAATCGAAAATCCACTTCTCCAATAGATAAAGGACCACCTTCAAACGTATCCATGGGGGGAAATGCCAAGCACTCGAGAGAAACAGAAAGACTTCATGGTGCAATATTATAAAAACCAATTCCTTTATTAGGTACTCATTGCACTTACTCAAGAGGTGTCCCAGCCGACACCAGCATCAACAGCATAACAGCAATCACATAAACGAGCCTGGCTACTCAGCACATGCGCAGTAGCTGGCAGCCAAAAACGTAATGACGTCACATCAATCAAGCTCCGCCCTACGCGTTTCGTCATCGACGTCCTCACGGAGCGGATAGATGTGAGACGTCTCAACCTCCTTAAATATTCACTCACAGGAAACGAACAGCTGACATCAATGGGGAATCAAGCAAAGCAAGCCGCCCCACAGATGACAGGAGTCCACAAAGGATATACAATGTATCCAATATATTTGCCATCACAAGCAAAAAAACTTTAAAACAAGAGAGCAAAAATAGAATAAAAAGAAATTTAAATAAAACACTAATGATAAATAAATTAAATAAAAAAATACATTAACGGGCCAGCACCCTCTAAGACTGTGTTTCAAAAAGGGAACTTAAAGGGCCAGTAACACTTTAAACACAAATAAAGGGGAACTCTAGTAATAATACAAAAATAATGCAAAAATTGTACAAAAAGCATACAATCTCCCATATATCATCTTTAAACAGTTGCCTATATAAAAATATACTTAAAATAACATAAAAATTAAAAATTAAAAATTTGTGAGAAAACAATTCAAATCTATATCGACATTTAACCCAAATGGTTGCAAGGAATTTAGTTCATAAATCCAAAACGTCTCTTTTTTGGAAATCTCATTAACCAAATCCGAGCCCCTCCAATGGGGTTTTACCATCTCGATCCCATAAAAGGTAAGTAAGCTCGGATCACAGTGCTGATAGTGTAATATAGCCTTTATTGAGTAAAATCCAAAAGTATTGAAAAGGGACACTCACTCAAAGTATGGTATCCTGTAGTCAATCCTTATGCATCAAACAAGTAAATTCAGCAAGGTCAGCGTCACATTGAGGGATCCCCCCGACATGTTTCGTGTAAAACACACGTTTTCAAACTTGTTTGATGCATAAGGATTGACTACAGGATACCATACTTTGAGTGAGTGTCCCTTTTGAATACTTTTGGATTTTACTCAATAAAGGCTATATTACACTATCAGCACTATCTTGCCTCCCTGGCTTGTTATTGCACGAGCCTCCTTAAGGTGGATCGACATCTGGAGTCTGAGCGACGGTGGACCCATTGGTGACCCATTGGTGAATCCTGAGGTGGACTGGGAGTGTGTCTTGTCAGCATCTCTGGGAGTCTGCTAGGGCGCTCTGATGACCGCATACCAGTGACCAGACCCTGATGTCCTTTACAGAGTATATACATACAACGCGTATTTTGTATGTAGTTCTGGTAAGCGCATTATATAACCATTACTACAAGGAATTTGTTATTTCTTCACTTGACCAGTTTGCCCACCTTGTGGACTTTTCTGATCACTGCATGGAGCACTTTTGATATATATTACTTCTGTCTTTGAGGACTCTTCATTTGGGACTATATTATTCTCATTTATTACCAAACGTATCATAGTTTCACATAACATCTAGCGCTGCATATTCTATGTTTTGGATCTGTTACTGAGGTGCTGAGGAATACCTTTTATGCTAGCGGCTTGCCAATTTAGTATTATCCTTACTTTTTTACTTTATTAATTTAGTTGCGCTCATTCAATTTGTTTTTATTTATGCTGTCTCTATTGTCTATGTTCCTATTGAGGAGATTTACACTCTGTCTCCATTGTCACCTGGACTGAAGTAGAGGGACAATCCAAAATCATGAGTTGTCACCAGAACAGGAACAGAGGTGAATCTTTCCATGGGGACATTAGTTCCAGTGACAGTTGTCTTGGATGGGATCCGCTCCCCCTGCTGAGGTGATTTCATCCTTCCTGGCGTGTCTATGGGACAAGAATGGACGCTAATTCTCCCCAATGAGTTGATCTTCCCGTTCTACATCCATACCAGAAAAGTGTAGTCTGGATGTCCTGTAATGTTGGGAAGGCCATACACATCCTTTACGTTTCCTGTGCGGTTGGGAGCTGCGTGTGGAATGGTTTCTGATTTGGATGTTCAGCATTTCTGTGCGGTTTTCCCACACTGCTGCACTTTGACCACATTTCCTCCATAGAATCTGTGAATTGTGCGATCTGTCACATCGCGATGTACGGTAAGAGCGGCACACACAATGGTTTTACCTCCAGAGAATTCTCCGAATGTCATTATCCACCACTGAGGTTGGTGAGCCCAGATCACAGGCAATGGTCCTGGCATACAGATTCTATTGCAGGACCAACATGTCCAGGCCCGTTCCCTTCCTGGCGTGTGCCATTGGCAGCAGAATGTAATACGGATCTTGACGTGTAGCTGCCCACTATATCACCAGTACAGGTCATTGCGCCACACCGGGCCGGAGCCTTGTGATTATGGTCATTGTAGGTCACGTGGCCTGCTTGGGTAACAACATTTTACATGTTGAAAGAAACCTAACACTAAGCTCAACACCTGTGTGCTTAGACTCTGATAGAAGCAGACATTCCCCAACTAGTATTAGGGCACTCTCTTGCTGACAATGCCTGTATGGTGGATGGAGTGACATGATGAAGGCACATATTGGAGGGCCAACAGCAGCACTGCAAATTCATCAACGGCAGCATAGTGTTGTCGGCACTCAACAGGAAATAAGGGGATAAGAGCAGCACTGGCAGGATCATCATAACCCCCATATGCATGCTTTGCATCATCCCAGGCCAGCATCTGTCGACCCTAGCACCAGAAGAGTACCAAGAGATTATGTATGACGACTCCAGACCCAGAAGAAGACCAGAAAAAAAATATCTAATGACCAAAAACACAGGAGAAGATGACTGTTGACTCCATACTCAGAAGAAGACCGGGAGAAGGCATCTGATGCGGAAGACCAGGAGAAGATGTTTGATGACTGCAAACCCAGAAGACAACCAGGAAACGATGTTTGATGACTCTAGACTCTGGAGAAGACGACTCTTGACTCCAGACCCAGAAGAAGACCAGTAGAAGGTGTCTGATGGCTCCAGACAAAGAAGACCAGAAGGAGATGTATGATGACTACATACCCATAAGAAGGTGTCTTGTGACTCCAGGCCTAGAAGACAATCAAAAACAGACGTTTAACAACTCCAGATCCAGAAGACCAGGAGAAGATATTAGATGACTCCAGGCTCAGAAGACAAGCAAAACAGATGTTTAATGTCTCCAGATCCAGAACAAGACCAGGAGAACATGTCAGATGACTCTAGACCCAGAAGAATAGCATGAAAGGATGTCTGAAGACTCCACACCCAGAAGATATCTGATGGCTTCAGACCCAGAAAAAGACCAAGAAAAGATGTCTGACTCCTCTCCCAGAAGAAGATCATAAGAAGACATCTAAACAATCCAGACCCAGAAGACCTGGAGAAGACATCTGATGTCTCCAGAGTTAGAAGACCAGGAGAAAGTGTCTGATGACTTCAGACCCAGAAGAAGACTAGGAGAAAATGTGTGATGGTTCCCGACCTAGAAGAATACCAGGAGAAGATGTATGATGACTCCAGACCCAGGAGAAGACTAATGATAACTCTAGATCCAGGAGAAGACTAATGACTCCAGACCCAGGAGAAGACCAGGAAAAGATTTCTGATGTCTTCAGAGCCAAAAAAAGACCAGGAAAAGATTTCTGATGTCTTCAGACCCAGAAAAAGACCAAGAAAAGATTTCTGATGTCTTCAGACCCAGAAAAAGACCAAGAAAAGATTTGTGATGTCTTCAGACCCAGAAAAAGACCAGGAAAAGATTTCTGATGCCTTCAGACCCAGGAAAAGATTTCTGATGTCTTCAGACCTGGAAAAAGACCAGGAAAAGATGTCTGATGACTTCAGACCTAAAATATGCCCAGGAGAAAATGTATGATGTCTCCAGACCCAGAAGAAGATCATAAGAT